TAAAATGTCTCACAATTTCTTCATCTAAGATAATGCTCACCCCAGACTGACATGAAAAACGCGTAAGGTGCAGTGAGGGCATTGTCAATAATCACTGATATACCACCAACACCTTTTACCAAAGAACCTTGGCTTTTAGGGGACGACACGTATTTTGCATTAGTGTCGTTGATGCAATTAAAATTGGTGATTGAAATATCTTACATTAAAGCGTCAATCAATCCGTAAATCGTTACTATTACACCACCAACTGAAGCCACCACCAACCAATTTGTGTAGCTTCCTGTTTTTTTTACAAAAATTAATGTTACATGCGATTTTTTTTCCCATCATTATCCGAATTAATGTTGCAAATTTTATTACCAATCCACGTAAAATACAATGTTAACTTTTCTCCAAAATACTCCCTCACTTTTGCTAGAGGTTGTCTTTCGAAAGATTTCACCCAGGCCTCATTTAATTCAGCCCGCATATTCTCTACTTTTGATGTGTCCACTTTTTTTGATGGTCCATCGTGAAGTGGATAGTAACCAATGAAAGCCTTATCTTTTACAAGACGATCAATTGAAAGTGAACTAATTCGAATCTTGCAAGGTAATTCGTTTCCTTGGTCGTCGGTTATCTTATGATTTAAGTAGTGTGCCGCTATTATAATCCTGTGAACCTAAGAATGTAATATCCTTTTTTAAATTGTATTATACATCCAAAATTCATTGAACCATTAAAAAAGCTACCATTAAATTTCGCTTAGCCATGCTAAAAAAATTTAATATAACTTCTGCCTTTGAATTCGTTATTGAGGCGCCTTCAAACTCTTCCAATCTATCTTTTTTGAAGAATGCAGAATTCTTGTTTGGATTGAGTTTGTAAGAAAAATGTTTGATTATAGGGTGGAACATAGATTGCTTCTCTCGGGGCAGATCCAGATGTTGAATATTTTCTCTCTAAAAAGGAAAATGCAGTAACAAGAAATATTATTAACGAAATCCCGTGCATGAATTTCAAACTTCGAATGACAGATAAGTTACGTTTAGTGGCATCTTAAGTTTCATCTGTTGCGCTTGTTCACAGAGCCTTTCAAATGGTGCAATTATTTTCATATACGTGAACTCGTCAATGACGTCCACTTCGCACTCTACAATCATACCAGAGTAAAGAAGAAACCTTTCAAATTTACATCGCTTTGTTCGATGTTCCTCGTAATCTTGGTCCTTTGGATCTTCACGGAATTTGATGATAAAATCGGGGAACGGATAGTCAAATATAGATTTTGCTATTGCGTCCCCAAGGTATTCTTTTGCTATTTAATTTTAGAAAAGTCTTTAAGCAAGAATCCAAATGGAGAATTGATCATCCATCACTTCTACTTACAGAAATTTTCGATAGTCTCCTTTAGCGTTGCGTTTTGAGCCTTGACCCAGGCATAAATTTCATCAAACTTATTTACATCTTCCCGACTTATGAAATGTAATTCCCTGTGATCCTCTAACTTTCGAATTATAATTTCAGCTTCCATCAGGTCGTCAGCATTTTCGCCAAGAGTTCCATATTTATTGGTTGAATTTTCGACAAGATCCGTGTCTAATTCAATAATATTCTTCAATTTATACGATACACCAAATTATTGCGTTAAATAATGTCACGTGTAGTGTAAAAGGTTATGTTAATTTACCTCGTCTTCTTGGGCATTAATTTGAATTATTTTATCTTCAAAATTTTCATCAGTCATTATGGAAACTAGAAATAGTAACACTTACCACAACTTTTCTCTTTAAATAATCAAAGAAGGTAACGCATGTACGATCTATTTTCATTATCACTTTGCCAAATTAGCGCTAAAACGTGTTGTTAGTCAATAAAGTCCCGGAGGAAAATCCGAATTCCAAATAACTTGTATTTTTTGTTACGAGAAACGAAGCGTATATCGCTAACTAAAATACACTCCATGTACAGTGCCCTTTACCATATCTGGTAAACGTAATAATTGTTTCTCCATAAGAATGGGTATCTTGGTCAGCACTAATATTTGTAAAAGAAGGATAATAATAATTCAATTACATAATTTGGTATTATATAATTAAGAATATACGGAATATGTTTTATTATCATTATTATTATTATTATTAACATGGAGCTGGTAATTTAAATTAAGCAATAACTTTATAATATTATAATTTTTGATAAAAAAGTATTTTTTAAAAAAGATTTTATTAAAAAAGAGTAAAGCTATCGATCAGAGCTTTTAAAATTTAAAATGTTTCAACTTACTACTGTATATAAAAATTTTTTCAAAAAAATATTTTACTTTATAAACTTACCAATTGATTTTTAAAACCTTTTTGTATAAAAAATTATAATATTTTGAAAATGGAAATATGATTAAAATGAATTATTCTCATTGTATGATTATTTATTTTTCAAAAAAAAATTTTTTTTTGATATAATTAAAATATTTAAATTTAAATTTCAAATAACAAATAAATTATTATAATACAATAAGATAAAAAAAAAATTCAATTATTTTTATTGTCAAAAAGAATCATTATTATTTATATACATAAATATTTTAAAATATATACAATATAAAATCAATAATAAATTTATGTTTTTAAAAAATTTCAAAAAACATATAATACTATTTAAATTGTTGTGATAAATATTTAGGTGTATTTTTTATTTTATCAATTACATATAAAAACAACACAGCGTTAATATACTATATTATTATATATTTTAATTAACAAGTTAATACTTGATAAAATCGATTGTTAAAACTTGATAATATTGATTGTTAAAACTTGATAATATTGATTGTTAAAACTTAAATCCATAGTCAGTTTACCGATTTTTAAATTTAATAACAAAATAATTATAGCAAATTTCATATATCAAAATAATATCAAAATCAATTTATCATAACGTTTAATCATTCTTTTTATCGATACATCTATCTACCAATTCTGAATAATACGCTGGAGGGCAGAAGTGCAGCTTATGCAGAAATCTGTACAGATTCAACCACTCTAATAGTATTATGTCAAGCATTAATCTACGTATTAAAGCAGGAGGTTTATTATGCAAAGCTTAAAGCATGTTGGCGTTTTTCGCGACGCGAGGATTTTCAGCCTACCTACGTGGTTTCTAAACTTTAAGAATTTACGTAATATCCGTTCGAATTTATACGAAAAAAACTCGTTTATCACAAATTACGGAGTTAAAGGTATTAAGATGCCGATTTCATAAGATGATTTTTATAATGATTAGCTATATTTCTTTGTTGTATAGAATTTCTACTCGCACGCTTCGTGCGTATTGATATCTCATCGTGATAAGATAATCGATCACGTGATGGTTTTCATCATTCTTTTTACACTAAACGCTTTAAAAAATACTGTGAATTGAGAAATAAATAACAGTCTATCTCATTGTAAAAGATCTACATTTGATACTAATGGTTTTTTCGAGAACGAAACTCCCAAACACATACATACGTACATACATATGACGGCATTTGGTATATTTGAATCGTTCTTTTTCTTTTCTCAATATAACCAAGATTGACAGCTCCGAAGAAAATAATTCCAAATTCACATATCGTAGTACAGTGCTTAGGATGTAAATTTCAAATATTCGTGTGTTGTTTAGAATGTGGGAAAAACTTTATATTTGCGTTTTGCGTTTCTCTTCGAATTACAGTAATAAGATGTGTGCGATATAATATTTATAACGCCATGTGACAAACTCGGGCTAAAAGATTTTGGCGCGAAATGTAAATGAAACGCACGAATGTACTTAAACGTAAGGATACACCACATTTTGTTTAATTTATGTGGAACAAAGCTTCACTGTTAAGAAAATTAGTTGTTATCTGTGTGCATCTATTTTAGAACCAATATGCTCAAAAAGATAAGCCTTATAGGTAAAGTGACGTTTCGTTTTGTCCAATTTAGGATTTGGCGTCTGACGCAGCAAATACCTTCTTTGAAGTAAAGGGAATGCTAAGGAGATGTTCTTCAAAAAAATGTTATGTGTGGTTCATTTGCATTCAATATAATATCGGAAAGGCAGTGATTGATAAAGGACAATCCGATTAACAACAGCAAAGTGCATTTCAATAAAGTGCGAGTTTAACTTGTAGAATAGTACATACCACTGTAGGATTATCATTGCCTATACATCTACTTACACAAAATTTCAGATATATAACATCTTCGGGATCTATTCGTTTTATTTTTTTTTTCTCTTTCCCACACATTTCTTAACAAATTAATTTTTCAATTCTTGTCGTTTCCTGAAAAGAAGGTCCGGTTTCTCTTTTGTTGCTCCTGCCAAGATGTCAAGTGGTGGTTCTTCCAGCAATGATTCCGCGGCACCGATAAACATCCCGTCGTCGCTTCGCAATAGGCGTCAGGGAGGCGTTTCGTCCATAGCGCATTCTGTCGCGGATGCCTTACAATCATGGACTCAGAATTCAAATCAAATTATGAGGTAGGTAAACCGATGTTTAAGAAAGCTTCGTGCTTTAATTTTTTAATTTTTTTTTTTTTTTAAAAAAAAAAATGGGAATTTTTTTATTTAGCACTTACATGTCCGATAATATCGCGGTACCATCCTCCGTTGTAGGAGATACTCTGGAACAAGGATACCTCTCGCCGGCAATGTCTCATCGTTACTCATATATTTCACCCGCGCAAGTTCGGCTACCTGAATCATATCGCTCAGGAAATCGTTCTCAATATGGATCTTATATTCCTTCGAGTGCTGTTCCTAGTCTTGCACCAATCAGCGGAAGTCCGGGCAACGATAGACCAACATGGTCAGGCTCCGCCCACGAAAAACATAGGCGACCTATCAAAGAACATACCCCCCTCATAAGGACTTCGTCAAAGTTAGTGAATCGATATTCCCGATGATGAAATGTATGAAATATCTAAATATTCTTATTATCATTTAAAGGACTTCTATGACCTCCATTCCTTTATCAACGATACAAGATAATGTTCCCGCATATATCGGATCAACTTTCAATCAATCGGTCCTCAATTCTTGTAACATTTTGATTGGTATGCATGTTTTTCACCAAGGAATCCGAGGTTAAATTCATTTCTAATGATAATTTTAATTATGTAGGTATCGGTATTCTCGCATTACCATTGGGGTTTCGATTCGCGGGATGGGCGATCGGGTTGGCATTGTTTTTCTTCTGTTTGGCGGTGACAAATTATACCGCCAAAGTACTTGTGAAATGCTTGGAGTATGATGAGGATCTCCACACGTATGCCGACATGGGTAATTAGCTGTGCTAGCACTTTTAAAAAAATATATAAATTCACAGAATCTTGTATCACGTGATAACAGTGTTGTTTAATTATCAGGTGCCATCGCTTTTGGAGAAGGCGTACGACTTATAATATCTATATTATTTTCTCTCGAATTGCTCGCCTCGGCCGTCGCCGTGGTTATTCTCGTCGGTGATTCTCTGCACGCAATATTTCCCGATGTGTCTATAACCGTTCTCAAATTAATTGCCTGGGGGATTATGGCACCCTTGACGTTGATAGCTATTCGCTACCTGTCATATTTTTCTTTGTTGGGTATATTTTCTGCAATCTCATTGACACTTGTCTTGATAATTGACGGATTTACAAAGTCTGAAAGACCTGGAAGTCTGGTGGATCCTATGCCAACGGAGTTATTCCCTACCACATGGGGTGCGGTTCCTATGAGTTTCGGGCTAATTATGGCCGGATTCACCGGTATCAATTAAGAAAATTTTTTTGCCGGCATTTCGAGAAATTGTTATCATTCACAATTATTAAGTGGTGATTTTTCATTATTATTTATAGGGCATTCTGTATTTCCCTCGGTGTATCGTGATATGCAAGAACCTCAAAAGTTCACTAAGGTGGTAGATCTCACATATTTTGTGAC